GTAATCATGAGATGTTGCAGTATACATAACCATGTAACCATGAGAAGTAGCAGTAGACAGTACCATGTAACCATGAGAAGTAGAAGTACACAGAACCATGTAACCATGAGAAGTAGAAGTAGACAGTACCATGTAACCATGAGATGTAGCAGTAGACATAACCATATAACCATGAGATGTAGCAGTAGACAGTACCATGTAACCATGAGATGTAGCAGTAGAAATAACCATGTAACCATTAGATGTTGCAGTATACACTGCTGAATTAGATGTTGAAGTACACAGAACCATGTAACCATGAGATGTTGCAGTATACATAACCATGTAAACATGAGAAGTAGCAGTAGAAGTACCATGTAACCTTGAGATGTAGCAGTAGACATAACCATGTAACCATTAGCATAACCATGTAACCATGAGAAGTAGCAGTATACATAACCATGTAACCATGAGATGTAGCAGTAGTCATAACCATGTAACCATGTAACCATGAGAAGTAGCAGTAGACATAACCATGTAACCATGTGAGGTAGCAACAAACAGAAGTTATATAACCAAGAGAAATAGCAGTAGACAGTACCATGTAACCATGAGAAGTAGCAGTAAACAGTACCATGTAACCATGAGAAGTAGCAGTAAACATAAACATGTAAGCATGAGATGGAGCAGTATACATAACGATGCAACCATGAGAAGTAGCAGTAGACAGTACCATGTAACCATGAGATGTAGCAGTAGACATAACCATATAACCATGAGATGTAGCAGTAGGCATTATCATGTAACCATGAGATGTAGCAGTAGACTTAACCATGTAACCATGAGAAATAGCAGTAGACATAACCATGTAACCATGAGAAGTAGCAGTATACATAACTATGTAACCATGAGATGTAGCAGTAGTCATAACCATGTAACCATGAGAAGTAGGAGTAGACATAACCATGTAACCATCAGAAGTAGCAGTAGACAGTACCATGTAACCATGAGAAGTAGCAGTACACGGTACCATGTAACCATGAGATGTTGCAGTATACATAACAATGTAACCATGAGATGCAGCAGTAGACATAACCATGTGAAGCAGCAACATACAGAACCATATAACCATGAGAAATAGCAGTAGACAGTACAATGTAACCATGAGAAGTAGCAGTAGACTTAACCATGTAACCATCATAAGTTGCAGTAGACAGTATCATGTCACCATGAGATGTAGCAGTAGACATAACCATGTAACCATGAGATGTAGCGGTAGACTTAACCATTTTACCATTAGAAGTAGCAGTATACATAACCATGTAACCATGAGAAGTAGCAGTAGACAGTACCTTGTAACCATGAGAAGTAGCAGTACACGGTACCATGTAACCATGAGATGTTGCAGTATACATAACAATGTAATCATTAGAAGTAGCAGTAGACATAACCATGTAACCATGAGATGTAGCAGTAGACATAACCATGTAACCATCAGAAGTAGCAGTAGACATAACCATGTAACCATCAGAAGTAGCAGTATACATAACCATGTAACCATGAGATGTAGCAGTAGTCATAATCATGTAACCATGAGAATTAGCAGTAGACATAACAATGTAACCATGTGAAGCAGCAACAGACATAACAATATAACCATGAGAAAAAGCAGTAGACAGTACCATGTAACCATGAGAAGTAGCAGTAAACAGTACCATGTAACCATGAGAAGTAGCAGTAGACAGTACCATGTAACCATGAGATGTAGCAATACACAGAACCATGTAACCATGAGATGTTGAAGTATACATAACCATGTAACCATGAGAAGTAGCAGTAAACAGTACTATGTAACCATGAGATGTAGCAGTAGACAGTACCATGTAACCATGAGATGTAGCAGTAGACATAACCATATAACCATGAGATGTAGCAGTAGACAGTACCATGTAACCATGAGATGTAGCAGTAGACATAACCATGTAACCATTAGATGTTGCAGTATACATAACCATGTAACCATGAGAAGTAGCAGTAGATAGTACCATGTAACCATGAGAAGTAGCAGTACACGGTACCATGTAACCGTGAGATAATGCAGTATACATAACCATGTAACCATGAGAAGTAGCAGTAGAAGTACCATGTTACCATGAAATGTAGCAGTAGACATAACCATGTAACCATCAGAAGTAGCAGTATACATAACCATGTAACCATGAGATGTAGCAGTATACATAATCATGTAACCATGAGATGTAGCAGTAGTCATAACCATGTAACCATGAGAAGTAGCAGTAGACATAACCATGTAACCATGTGAGGCAGCAACAGACAGAACCATATAACCATGAGAAATAGCAGTAGACAGTACCATGTAACCATGAGATGTAGCGGTAGACTTAACCATTTTACCATTAGAAGTAGCAGTATACATAACCATGTAACCATGAGAAGTAGCAGTAGACAGTACCTTGTAACCATGAGAAGTAGCAGTACACGGTACCATGTAACCATGAGATGTTGCAGTATACATAACAATGTAACCATTAGAAGTAGCAGTAGACATAACCATTTAACCATGAGAAATAGCAGTATACATAACTATGTAACCATGAGATGTAGCAGTAGTCATAACCATGTAACCATGAGAAGTAGAAGTAGACATAACCATGTAACCATGTGAAGCAGCAACATACAGCACCATATAACCATGAGGAATAGCAGTAGACAGCACCATGTAACCATGAGAAGTAGCAGTAGACTTAACCATGTAACCATCAAAAGTAGCAGTAGACAGTATTATGTAACCATAAGATGTAGAAGTAGACATAACCATATAACCATGAGATGTAGCGGTAGACATAACCATGTTACCATTAGAAGTAGCAGTAGACATAACCATGTAACCACGAGATGTAGCAATAGACATAACCATATAACCATGAGATGTAGCAGTAGACATAACCATATAACCATGAGATGTAGCAGTAGACAGTACCATGTAACCATGAGATGTAGCAGTAGACATAACCATGTAACCATTAGATGTTGCAGTATACATAACCATGTAACCATGAGAAGTAGCAGTAGACAGTACCATGTAACCATGAGAAGTAGCAGTACGCTGTACCATGTAACCATGAGATGTTGCAGTATACACAACGATGTAACCATGAGAAGTAGCAGTAGAAGTACCATGTAACCATGAGATGTAGCAGTAGACATAACAATGTAACCATGAAAAATAGCAGTAGACATAACCATGTAACCATGAGAAGTAGCAGAATACATAACCATGTAACCATGAGATGTAGCAGTAGTCATAACCATGTAACCATGTGAGGCAGCAACAGACAGAACCATACAACCATGAGAAATAGCAGTAGACAGTACCATGTAACCATGAGAAGTAGCAGTAAACAGTACCATGTAACCATAAGAAGTAGCATTAGAAAGTACCATGTTACCATGAGATGTAGCAGTAGACATAACCATGTAACCATGAAAAATAGCAGTAGACATAACCATGTAACCATGAGAAGTAGCGGTATACATAACTATGTAACCATGATATGTAGCAGTAGTCATAACCATCTAACCATGAGAAGTAGCAGTAGACATAATCATGTAACCATGTGAAGCAGTAACATACAGAACCATATAACCATGAGAAATAGCAGTAGACAGTACCATGTAACCATGAGAAGTAGCAGTAGACTTAACCATGTAACCATCAGAAGTAGCAGTAGACAGTATCACGTAACCACGAGATGTAGCAGTAGACATAACGATGTAACCATGAGATGTAGCGGTAGACATAAACATTTTACCATTAGAAGTAGCAGTAGACATAACCATGTAACCATGAGATGTAGCAATAGACATAACCATGTAATCATTAGAAGTAGCAGTAGACATAACCATGTAACCATGAGATGTAGCAGTAGACATAACCATGTAACCATCAGAAGTAGCAGTATACATAACCATGTAACCATGAGAAGTAGCAGCAGACAGTACCATGTAACCATGAGAAGTAGCAGTACACGGTACCATGTAACCATGAGATGTTGCAGTATACATAACCATGTAACTATTAGAAGTAGCAGTAGAAATATCCATGTAACCATGAGATGTAGCAGTAGACATAACCATGTAACCATGAGATGTAGCAGTAGTCATAACCATATAAACATGAGAAGTAGCAGTAGACATAACCATGTAACCATGTGAAGCAGCAACAGGCAGAACCATATAACCATGAGAAATAGCAGTAGACAGTACCATGTAACCATGAGATGTAGCAGTAAACAGTACCATGTAACCATGAGAAGTAGCAGTAGACAGTACCATATAACCATGAGATGTAGCAGTAGACATAACCATGTAATAATGAGATGTAGCAGTATACATAACGATGTAACCATGAGAAGTAGCAGTAGACAGTACCATGTAACAATGAGATGTAGCAGTAGACATAACCATGTAACCATGAGATGTAGCAGTAGACATTACCATGTAGCCATGAGATGTAGCAGTAGACATAACCATGTAACCATGAGATGTAGCAGTAGACGTAACCATGTAACTATCAGAAGTAGCAGTAGACAGTATCATGTAATCATGAGATGTAGCAGTAGACATAACCATGTAACCATGAGATGTAGCGGTAGACATAACCATGTAACCATTAGAAGTAGCAGTAGACATAACCATGTAACCATGAGATGTAGCAGTAGACATAACCATGTAACCATCAGAAATAGCAGTAGACAGTACCATGTAACCATGAGAAGTAGCAGTAGACAGTACCATGTAACCATGAGAAGTAGCAGTAGACAGTACCATGTAACCATGAGAAGTAGCAGTACACAGTACCATGTAACCATGAGATGTTGCAGTAGACAGTATCATGTAACAGTGAGAGTTTTCTACGGTCAGTACTTAATCATTAAGAAGATTACTGGGTTTTGTACCGTGAGCTGGAGCTGTGGACCAAATACAATTACAGAACACTATTATGAATTTAATCCGTGGACTGAAGCATGGGTTACCTTTCTTAGGTTGAAGGTAACTTGAAATTTCTGTAAAAAAGATTCTGCGAACTCAGGATAGGTATGAAGTATTTCTCGCAGATCTAACAAATCAATTTTGTTGATGTCACAATAGGACAGGGCTCTAACACAGTACATGGACTGGCCTTGGAGAGAGTTGTTTTCTTTGATGTCTTCACCAAATATGTCATCTTTTCCTAGAAATAATAAACAAAAACAAATAATGGCTTCACCAAATATGTCATTTTTACATTTATAACATATTCAAAAGCTACGTCAAGTCTTTCTGGAAATAATCTTTTGATTAAAGATTAAATTTTATCTTTGAACTTTTATTTGGTCAATTGAAAATTATAATTATTTATATAGTATTAATATTACTAGCACGATGACAGGGGTGGACTGGGCCGCCGGGACACCGGGAAGATTCCCGATGGGTCGCAAGGACCGGTGATATAATAAAAATAAAAGTCATGAAGATAGGGGCAGTTTTTGATTTTTTTCCCGGGCCGCTTGAACTCCCCAGTCCACCCCTGCCGGGCCGCTTGAACTCCCCAGTCCACCCCTGCCGGGCCGCTTGAAATCCCCAGTCCACCCCTGCCAGGCCGCTTGAACTCCCCAGTCCACCCCTGCCGGGCCGCTTGAACTCCCCAGTCCACCCCTGCACGACAGGCTTCAATAATATTAGAATTACTCTCAAGACCCATCTACCTAAATGACCTTTACTGTCAAGACCCATCTACCTAAATGACCTTTACTGTCACGACCCATCTCTCTAAATGACCTTTACTGTCAGGACCCATCTACCTAAATGACCTTTACTGTCAAGACCCATCTACCTAAATGACCTTAACTGTCAAGACCCATGTACCTAAATGACCTTAACTGTCAAGACCCATCTACCTAAATGACCTTTACTGTCAAGACCCATCTACCTAAATGACCTTTACTGTCAAGACCCATCTACTTAAATGACCTTTACTGTCAAGACCCATCTACCTAAATGACCTTTACTGTCAAGACCCATCTACCTAAATGACCTTTACTGTCAAGACCCATCCACCTAAATGACCTTAACTGTCAAGACCCCTACCTAAATGACCTTTACTGTCAAGAACAAATATACCTAAATGACCTTTACTGTCGAGACCCATCTACCTTAATTACCTTTACTGTCGAGACCCATCTACCTAAATGACCTTTACTGTCAAGACCCATCTACCTAAATGACCTTTACTGACAAGACCCATCCACCTAAACGACCTTTACTGTCAAGACCCATCTACCTAAATGACCTTAAATGTCAAGACCCATATACCTAAATGACATTTACTGTCAAGACCCATCAACATAAATGACCTTTACTGTCAAGACCCATCTACCTAAATGACCTTTACTGTCAAGACCCATCTACCTTAATGACCTTTACTGTCAAGACCCATCTACCTAAACGAACTTTACTGTCAAGACCCATATACCTAAATGACCTTAACTGTCAAGACCCATCTACCTAAATGACCTTAATTGTCAATACCCATATACCTAAATGACCTTACTGTCAAGACCCATATACCCAAATGACCTTAACTGTCAAGACCCATCTACCTAAATGACCTTAACTGTCAAGACCCATATACCTAAATGACCTTAAATGTCAAGACCCATATACCTAAATGACCTTTACTGTCAAGACCCATATACCTAAATGACCTTAACTATCAAGACTCATATACCTAAATGACCTTTACTGTCAAGACCCATATACCTAAATGACCTTAACTGTCAAGACACATATACCTAAATGACCTTAACTGTCAAGACCCATCTACCTAAATGACCTTTACTGTCAAGACCCATATACCTAAATGACCTTAACTGTCAAGACCCATATACCTAAATGACCTTTACTGTCAAGACCCATATACCTAAATGACCTTACTGTCAAGACCCATCTACCTAAATGACCTTAACTGTAAAGACCCATCTACCTAAATGACTTTAACTGTCAAGACCTATCTACCTAAATGACTGTAGCTGTAAAGACCCATATACCTAAATGACTTTAACTGTCAAGACCCATCTACCTAAATGACTTTAACTGTAAAGACCCATATACCTAAATAACCTTTACTGTCAAGAACAAATATACCTAAATGACCTTTACTGTCAAGAACAAATATACTTAAATGACCTTTACTGTCAAGACCCATCTACCTAAATGACCTTTACTGACATGACCCACTAACCTAGTTTTATGATTTAGTTTTTAATCGACCTGTTAATAGAACAACAAATAAGAATTGTAAGTTCACCTTTAAACAACACAACAATCGCTATAACAAGCTACATTTTTCATCATAAAGACGATAGAGATAGGCACGTCTGGGCTAGACAAGGCCCACATAGGGTTGTCGTATTTTCTCAGTGTGTCTTGTTTTATATTTTCACTGCAGCCTTAAAAGGGCCTCTTATTATCATTGAAAGACAAAGAACCAATCATAGACAGCAATATAGATGGTAAAGCAACCAGTAACAGCAACATAGATGTTAAACAATCAGGACATCAATACAGAGGGTAAACAATCAGGACATCAATACAGATGGTAAACAATCAGGACATCAATACAGATGGTAAACAATCAGGACATCAATACAGATGGTAAACAATCAGGATAGAAATACATATGGTAAACAATCAAGACCGGATTACAGATGGTAAACAATCAGGGACAACAATACAGATAGTAAACAATCAGGGACAGGAATACAGTTGGTAAACAATCATGGACAGCAATACAGATGGTAAACCATTTTGGGACAGAATACAGATGGTAAACAATCAGGACAACAATACTATTGGTAAACAATCAGGACAGCAATACAGATGGTAAACAATCAGGACAGGAATACAGATGGTAAACAATCAGGACATCAATACAGATGGTTAACAATCAGGACAGTAATACAGATGGTAAACAATCAAGGACAGCAATACAGATGGTAAACTATTTTGGGGCAGCAATACAGGCGGTAAACCAATGAGAGACAGTAAAACAGATGGTAAAATTAAAGATTAACAACTTCCGACAAAATAATAATCGACAAATAATTTTCTCACAAAAACAAACTGATTTAGTTAAGGTTGAAGTACGCTGTACAAAAATAGTCGTTTATTCAAATGAAGGGTCCAAAGACGTAAATAAGCAGAACGAATCGTGCTAATAGGCAGATCAGATAGGCAGTTTAGATAGGCAGTTTAGATTTAGATAGGCAGATTAGATAAGCAGATTAGATAAGCAGGTTAGGGAGGCAGGTTAGAGAGGCAGGTTAGAGAGGCAGGTCAGATAGGCAGATTAGATAAGCGGGTTAGATTGGCAGGTTAGAGAGGCAGGTTAGAGAGGCAGATTAGATAGGCAGATTAGATAGGCAGGTTAGATAGGCAGGTTAGAGAGGCAGGTTAGAGAGGCAGGTTAGAGAGGAAGGTTAGAGAGGCAGGTTAGAGAGACAGGTTAGAGAGGCAGGTTAGTGGGCATATCGAATACATACAGACGTAACCCACTTACCATAGTGACATTACTTTTTACCTAAAATTACAATGACTGCCATGACCCCATTATCTAGTATTTTTATTACTAGTTTCTGTCATAAACCACCAACCTTACTGCCATTACTCACTTACCTTAAATGCCCATTACTGACGTGACCCACTAACCTAGATTTATCCTTACTGACATTAATCGACAAGTAATTCCATAAATGACATGACCCACTTACCTAAAATGGCCATTACTGTCTCATCTTTTAATATTTCAATGGAACCTCGGGCTATGAAGTACAAAGCCGTGAGGATATCACCTGGGTGCACAAGGGTGTCACCAGGGGGCGCATGTGTAGACTTGAATTTCGTGGATAAAACACGAAGACAACCTGTAACAACAGCGTGGATTAGATGATGAGAGAAAATTTAGACACCCCCCTTTCCAATACAACTTACCATCAATCATCATCATTCTCTTCCAACACCCACAATTACCATAAAAAAACACTATAACCAATCAACACCCACCATTCCATTCCTTCTCAAAATTTAACATTCCAAAATCCACCATTTCCATCCGAAATCCACCATTTCCATCCAACATCCATAATTCCCGTCCAAAATCTCCGATTCTCGTCAACAACCAAACATTCTTATCTAACATCTACATTCCCATCCAAAATCTACAATTCTCGTCAAACATCCATTATTCTCTCCCAACATTCACCATTTCTAACCAACATCCATCATTTCTATCCAAAATTCAGAATGTTCATCAAACATCCACCAGTCTCATCAAACATCCACCAGTCTCATCAAACATTCACCATTCCTATCAAGTATTCATGATTCCCAAACAAAACCCCCGTTCTCTTCTAAAATTATAACTTTCTATCCAACATGCACCATTTACATCTAAAACCCACCATTCTCATCCAACATCAACAATTTCCCTCCAACATCCACAATTCCCATCCCAAAGTCATCGTTCTCATTCAACATCCACAATTGCAAAACAACTCCACCATTTTTGTCCAACATCCACAATTTCCATCCAACAATCACCATTCTCATCAAACATCCACTATTCTCATCAAACATTCACCATTCTCATCAAACATCAACTATTCTCATCAAACATTCACCATTCTCATCAAACATTCACCATTCTCATCAAACATTCCCCATTCCCTTCCAAAATTAAACATTCCCATTCAACATCCACCATTCCCATTCAACATCCACCATTCCGTTCAAACATCCACGAATTTCCTCAAACCGCCCCTCCAGTATCAATAATTCCTATCAAGCAATCAACGATTGCCATCCAAAATTCTCCTAAAAATCCATTATTTCCATCCAACATACACCATTACCATCAAATCAATATTTTCTTTTCAACCACGATTCGCTCAACTATCTTCCTTCCAACCACCTTTCTCTCAATTAATCTTTACCAATCCTCCACATGCCACTTATTTTCTCTCTCCACCTGTCCTCATGCTATATTAACTATACACCTGTACTAACCTGGACTAGCTCCCTTGAAAGCGTTGCAGTTCTGTAGCAAGTTTCGATTAAGATGTAAACAAATATCTGCTTGAAGACACTCTGGGAATCCCTTTAAGACCTGTAACACAAATCAAAATACGATTCGTAGGTAACATCAACGTAGGGCAGTGGAAACACGACTTTTAATATCACCTGTATGAACACGGCTCATATTATCACCTGTCTAAATACGAATCTTAATATCACCAGTCTAAACACGACTCATATTATCACCTGTCTAAACACGAATATTAATATCACCAGTCTAAACACGACTCATATTATCACCTGTCTAAACACGAATCTTAATATCACCAGTCTAACACGAACCATAGATGTAACCTAGATAACTTAAGTTAAATAGCGTACGTGCGCTTGCACCTGTATACCAAGTACCAATAAAGTATATTTGTTAAATTTGTTTATTCGGTAGTCTGTATATGATGTGATTATATGTAGATGATGTAATTATATGTAGATGAGTGTTTATGACTACCTCTCACTTTCACATCACTTCTTGTCTCACTTTGTCAAAGCTACTTGTCTCACTTTTCTCACCTCTTCTTGTCTCATTTTCCCATCTCAACTTGTCTCAATTTCTCACTAACCCACCTTAACTGTTCTCAATTCAACCTCTGAAACATAAACACCATTTTCTATTAACGAGCCAACACAGCCCCACACACTCCCACACAGCCCAACACACCCCCACACAGCCCAACACACCCCCACACAGCCCCATCACCTACCCCATAACCTATCCCTTCACCTATAACGAGCCAACACAGCCCCACACACTCCCACACAGCCCAACACACCCCCACACAGCCCAACACACCCCCACACAGCCCCACACCCCCACACAGCCCAACACACCCCCACACAAAATCCCGATCGTCCTTCCCAACAACAAATTCCCACCCTCTCTCCCCACACCACCACCACATTTTCTCTTTCCGTCCACTGTATCTTATTATCTATCTCCACAACTTTAATTTGCAACTACAGCTCAGATACCCTTTTCAAATACCGTTTACCCCTACTTTTATCGTTCACTCTCAATCATCCATCTTAAATCAACCTTCCATTATCATCCAACTTCAATCACTCAAACACCATCTCCCCCACATCAATTCCCACACCTCTTCCACACCTCTCCCACCCAGCCTCTCCCCTCCCCCTAACAGGGCCTTTGTGTCCCGGCCTCTCTCACACTTCATGTCTCCCCACCATCACTCTCACACCGTCTCTCGCCACCATCTTCCCCACACCATCTATTCTCCCAACTTTTTATCTCATATGTCTGTCTCTGGCAATGAAATGATTTCAGAGTTTTGTTCAGTCTTTATGGCCGATGTTTCCATTTGTCTAGAGAACATTCTGGGCGTCTCGTCCAACTAACACAACTTTGCCTTTATTTACTCAATCAAAAACTGCCCGGAGAGTTCCTTCTTAATTTTCTACTCCGTAGGGCGGAAATTACTCCGCTAAATGGCGGAGAAAGATGAGCGTGCTAGGAAACACAAAGTAGTTCGTTTCTATTCATGGCCGATCTGTGAGCAGACGTATTGGAAGACAGACTTCCGGTCAGTGCGCAAGACTGGAAAGCAAGATGGCGATGATAATGTCTGACAATAATTGGATAGCGCAGCATGAATAAAACTGAGATACGCTAACCTCAGATGTGACTGTAAGAGATTTACAGACATTTGACAGTCAACCAGAGATATGAAAACAAGAGATGTGACATATATGTGACAACCAGAGATGAGAAAACCATAGATGTAACGACCATAAATTTGACAACCAGAGATGTGGCTACCAGAGATATGGCTACCAGAGATGTGGCTACCAGAGATGTGGCTACCAATGATGTGGCTACCAGAGATGTGGCTACCAATGATATGGCTACCAGAGATGTGGCTACCAATGATGTGGCTACCAGAGAAGAGGCTACCAATGATGTGGCTACCACAGATGTGACTACCAATGATGTCACAAACAGAGCCATGTCAACAGTTGTCAACCCAAATGTTTTGACTCCAGACAAATCTAGGTTTAGAGAGGGATTTAACTTGTACCCGTCTGGATTAAAACCAAATTCCTAATCCAGTGACCGAACTAAATGAATGAACATTGCATGACACTAAAGGTTAGGAAAATGTTTCCTAAGTGAGAAAGACCGTCGCTTTGAGACCGTTTGAAAGAACACCTGTGCAACAGACGAAAACAAGCCATTTGTCCCGTTTGGAAACATTCCAACAGTGCTAACAGCAATGCCATATCAGACATTGCAGCTACTGGTATATTGCAATGCGAGATTACAACTGAAAGAATTTTTGTGTAAAATAAAGAAATCAAAATATTTGGTACGTTGACTCCATCGGTAACAATCTAATTCACAATTTTATATAGCTGCTACGTTTTTTCCGCATTTATAGTGTACTATCTTTTCGTTCTTCTGATCTATATTTGAATGATGGAGCTTGTGTCTATTCAATTTCTTTCATTTTCTTAATATTAATAGGTATTAAACATTTAACTATATAAAGTAGAAATTAATTAAAAATAATTGTATTATTGCGAGTGGTTGCCAGTCGATTTTTTTAGGGGTGGGGGGCGCATTAATTGGGATTTTTATAAAATGCGTTACTTGAACGCATTTTTCGTCAAATGTTCAGCCCCCCCCCCCCCCCCCCCCCTTCCTCAATATTACATTTTATAAAAGATATATACGAGAAACTTTGTTTTTACAGTTGTTTAATTTTGTATTTATTCCGTTGTTCATAAGTAAGAAATATGAACATCATGATATTAACTTATCTTGCCTTTTAAATGACCAATCAATGTCCTGGTATTTTAACACAACTTTATTGTGTCATAAAAATATCAATTAATGGAATTCAGAGGTTCCTTACATTGTTCATGTCGATGCCGTTAGTATATGACCAGGTATGTTGAAACGATTCTTGTAATCGATTAGCCAGAGTTTTTGGAATATGGTGAAAGTTGACGAACTCCTTGACACTCTGAACCTTCTCGTGATATTCATCGGATCCTTGGTAGACTCGCAGCATTATGGAAGAAACGTTACCAAAAATAGCTGCACTTAGTAAAGCTAAAGAAACATAAGAAATAAAACATAAGTGCAAGTTTATAGGCAAATAACACAATGACATCATTGTGTAGGACAATATACAACAATAATAATAATAATAATAATAAAAGTTATTTGAAAAGCATGCTTCATCCCCAAAGGCTCGAAGCGCGGTACAAAGTCAACCATATTAAAAGAGAAATGAAAAAGTCAATATTATACCACATTGAAATATAAAACGTAACATTAACAAATCTACATACGAGAATACCCATTCTAAGTCTTTCATCGCTTGCAAACATAAACAACACAGGCCAATATACATCTAGGAGATAAAGCCAGCAGGAAAGATGGTAGACAAAATCACCCCAGCAGGTGTTAGCGAAATAGATGTGTTTTCAATTCGGTTTTGAAAGACTCCAGTGTCTGTCAATTTCTGAGAGCGTCAGGAAGTGTGTTCCAAATTGTTGGACCAACAAATGCGAAAGTGCGCCTTCCGTAATTCTCAAGGCTAACACGTGGTATCGAGAGTTTGCCACTATTGGATGAGCGGAGGTGTCTGGTGGGTACATAAGTTTTCATGAGCGCTTTGAGATAGAACGGTGCCAGGTCAAGCAAGCAGCGGTAGCACAGAGTTGCAATTTTGTACTCTATGCGAGCGCGGACCGGCGGCCAATGCAACTCTCTTAGAAGTGCTTTAGCATGGTCTAATCTGAATTTACCCAGAACAATGCGAGCCGCATAATTCTGTGCTTTTTTAATTTTATCCAGGAGCGTAGCTGGAGGACCCACCATGAGAGCATTGCAGTAGTCCATGCGTGATAGCACGAATATAGACAACAGTCTATTTGTTGCATCAAACGTTAAGAAAGGTCTGATATGACAGTGTCTGCGCAGCTCTAGAAAATTCGCCTTGCAAAGCATGTTAATGTGATTTTCAATAGTTAGTGTTCTATCCAAGCACCCAGGTTTCGCACTGTTTGAGCAAAATCAATCTGTATACAATGACATCCTTTTTGAAGGACATAAGACAATGACATGCTTTTGTATGACATAAGATAATGACATGATTGTGTAGGACATAAGACATTAAAATAATTAAGTAGCATTACAAGAACATCAGACAATGACATCAATTAGTAGGCATTTTGAACTAGAGACAACGGCGTTCTCATCTAGCGTGACAGGCGTAAAGGGCGTTCTCATCTAGCGTGACAGGCGTAAAGGGCGTTCTCATCTAGCGTGACAGGCGTAAAGGGCGTTCTCTTTAAGCGTTTTAGGCTTAAAGGGCGTTATGAATCAGCATACCAGGCATACAGAGCGCTCTCAATTAGCATATGAGGCGTTAAGGGTGCTCTCTTCAGCTTGCTGGTATTAAGGGCTGGTAGGATATAAACAATATTATCCCTTAAGTCTAACAATGTAGTCATTGATAGAGTCTAGTAATACAATGAAATTTACATTGTAATAAAGTAAATATTGTTTAGGTGCTCATTAAGACGAAAAATACCACTGAATATCTTATAAGTTGTTCCTCTAAAACTATTGCAAACTAAATCTTTCTAAGATAGCAGTGATATTATGGTGAATTTTGTGCTGGGAGATTTGAAGAGTGGGGGAGGGAACTCTTGGCTGTTAAGGGCGGGAAATGAGCAGCTTTCAGGGCCAGCGTCATTTCCGGTCCATTGATCCCAGGAAGATCGGTATCGTGGACACATTTCTAGGGCGGATTCATTTTGAGACGTTTCATTTGAATGTGTGTCGATTCTGCATTTGGAGCAGCGAGTATTTCCATAGATCCATCTTAGTGTGTAGATGATCAATCAACCGATGTTTGAACGAGTGTTCATTAGACATATACGATTTAAATATAACTGGAGTTTGTACTTGACAAACGATAAATTCTCAGGCCGATTCCATCCTTGGCAGCGGGAGACACAGGGTTGACAATGTGAACATGGATCACGAGTCAATTACAGCCCTCGGAGGGTCCTCAAATGGAGGATTTTTTTTTACTGCCTTCACTACACCCATACACACTGAGTTTGTATAAGATCAGCTTTGGGTTGTGCTGCATGGGGGCAGTATAGAGCAGTATGGGGCACTGGAGGGCAGAAGGACGCATTATGGAAAAAAGTTGACAGAAGGGGTCAACATGATCCATAAGGGGGGGGGCAGTCTTTTGCAGAAGGGGACATGGAGGGACAGGGTCAGTTAATTGAGATCTGTTTTATTCCAGCATACATGTAAGTGGAGCAACAAGATATAAACACAATTAGAGAACAACCACATCTGAGACAACACTATTCAATCCAACCACACTCACGCCAACCACATCTGAGACAACCACATTCATTCCAACCATATTTGACACAAGCACATTAAATCCAACCACATCTGAGACAACTACATTCAATCCAACCATATTTGACACAAGCACATCAAATCCAACCATATCTGAGACAAGCACATTCATTCCAACCATATTTGACACAAGCACATCAAATCCAACCACATCTGAGACAAGCACATTCAAACAATCTGAGAAAATAAACTCTAAATCTAAACGATACGTAAGACAACTGAGTCTCCAGACAACGCTAGCTGTGAATTAACCCTTGGCGACATGCCAACTACAACGGAGAAAATCCACAGAGGCTAAAAGAAAAGTCCAACCAATGAAAGCTCGCCCTGTAACAGCGCTCGTATGGTAAGACAGCAGACAGCAGACAGCAGACAGCGGCCCATGAAAAAATATTCTGATGGTCCGGTTCTTTGAATAGATTGATGGTCGATGTCAGGACCAACACGTCAGTCAGCACCCAAAGATATGAGTCTAGCAAATATAGTCTCGTTCCGTTCCATGTAATCTGGCGTCTTCACTCCGGCGTCAAGGGAGTCAATATTTGATGGCGATTCATTCGGCGACCTCACTCCCTTTTGGGGTTTCCTGATCAACAGCATTGGTCAACAATGAAGATCTCTCAACGCGGGTCGAACTGCTCGGGTGGTGGTCTTTAGTACAACGTTAGTGTGTTATAGGAACTCATGAAAATATTTAATTAAATCATTCTCAAGTCATGTTTGTGACATATAGTGACATCATGTGAGGGATATATATTTTGAAATTGTAAAAGGACATCATATAAAGGGATATTATGACAGTGACATATACAGTGACATGACAATAACATATTTTGACATCATGAGGGTAGGATTTATAGAAGAAATGAAATATATCTTGACATCATAACAATTTTATAATGTACTAGCCAATCTACCCGCCGTTGCTCCAGTTTAAACTTGGAAAAAATGTCTAACCGCAAAACATGGACTGCATTTACAGTATAACAGCGAAGCATAGACTACATCTGCAGTATAAAAGCAAATATATACTCTACATCTGATTCAACGGTATTTCAGGGTACATTTATCGAGTATTGTATTATGGATCGTAAGCATCGATTATGAAAACAGACTCGATACTGGATTTATCAAAAGAAAATCGATTCATAAATATGAGGAGAGAACATTCATTTTTGAGAGCGTAAGCCCAATGATGGGAGGGTGGCCAAAAGATGGCAACGGCAGCTCTCTTCATACATCACACCCATCGACCATGCCACACAACAGTACTCCGCCTTATTCCTAATGGGTTTTGTCATTTTCTTTAGTTTGAGTATACATTTTTTTGACAACCTATCAGAAACAAGCACACAAATATCAAAACACATTAACCTATGAACAGCACACACTCTTATCAACAACACGCTGACCTATAAACAACACACCCACAAGTATCAACAAAACACTGACCTCGGAACAATACACACACGTGTCAACAACACGCTGACCTATGAACAACACACACAAGTATCAAAAACACGCTGACCTTGGAACAATACACACATGAATTTGCAACAAACTGATCTAGGAACAATACACACACGTATCAACAACACACTGACCTATGAACAACACACACACGTATCAACAACACACTGATCTAGGAACAATACACACACGTATAAACAACACACTGACCTATGAACAACACACACACGTATCAACAACACACTGACCTAGGAACAATATACACACGTATGAACAACACACTGACCTATGAACAACACACACATGTATCAACAACACACTGACCTATGAACAACACACACATGTATCAACAACACACTGACCTATGAACAACACACACACGTATCAACAACACAATGACCTTTGAACAACACACACACGTATCAACAGCACAATGACCTTTGAACAACACACACATGTATCAACAACACTCTGAACTATGAACAACACACACATGTATCAACAACACTCTGAACTATGAACAACACACACAAGTATCAACAACACTCTGAACTATGAACAACACACACACGTATCAACAACACGCTGACCTATGAACAACACATACAAGTATCAACAAGACAGTATTGTAAACAAACCAATTTAACAACAGATAGGCAGTAACGTCACACAAACCGATCATTGCCGCACAGACCTATAAATACACAGATTTATAATCACACACATACTTTTGATTATACCCATACCCATAAACGAGCATACCTATAAACACACAGACTTATAAACTCAAACATAGAACTACACATACATGTAAAATAGAGACTTTAATTTTACACACACCTATAAACACACATACCCAGTGTTTCTTTCAGACTCCCCCCGTGGGGGAGCATTTAAGATTTTCGGGGGTAGGGGGCAGTGCCAGTTGCCAATGGGAAGTGACCAGAAGCGTAGCTAAGGGGTGGCAGATGGGGCTTACTTCCCGGGTCGCTAAACTAGCGGGGGCACCAAAACTGGCTTTGATGGTTGAAAATAATTAGTTTCAGTGGGGTCGCATACAAATAAATCATGTCCCTTGACTCTAGTTACGCCCTTGCCAGTGGCGTAAAAATGGGAAGGGTGAGGTTGTTCACCCAGGTGTCACTTTTCCTTTATGTGGAGGTGCGGGATTTTCGGACAACTGCAGAGTTTATATGGTAAAAGAGAAAGCGACAAAAATATTTGGCCCCCATGGTGGCACTAATAGTAGCTTGTTTTATTTATATAAATAAAAACAAAACAAAGATAATAATGATAAACTCAGCCAACCAAAAGCATATCTCTCTGGTAGGCAATGCACTGGAAGAAGTGGAGGCCTTCACATTCTTTGACTTCGCCATTGACTTAAACGGTGGATCTGAAGGGAAAGTCAGGGATAGAATTGGAAAGGCTAGGTCAGCATTTGGCTAGTAAAGAAAATATGGAGATAAAAGGAGCAGACTCAAAACCAAAGTCAGAATTTTTAACACAAATGTCAAAACAGTCCTACTCTATGGAGCCGAAACTTGGAGAACAATAGCGGGCATTACGCATAAATTACAAACCTTGATAAACACTTGCCTTAGAAAGATCCTGAAGATCAAATTGCCAAACACCATCATTAACAAAGACTTACTAGATACCAGGAGCCCATTGCTGAAGACATCATAAGAAAAAGGTGGATGTGGATAAGGCACACTGTCCTCAAACCCCCAGATAATATCACCAGACAATCCCTAACATGAAATTTACAGGGAAAAAGAAAAAGAGGAAGCCCTAAAAATACACGAAGACGCGAGCTAGAGGCAGACACACAAAGTATGAGAAATACATGGAAGCAACTGGAAAGGAACGCGCAGGACACAGATAAATGGGAAATGCTCGTAGACGCCCTATTCTTAAGACGGGGTAAAAGGCATAAGTAAGTAAGTAACGTAAGTAATTAAGTTGAGTCTTCAGCGGTGGAGGTGTCTGGGAGCCTTCTCTCCAAAATTTTTCTTTATAATTTCAAAATCAAGAGGTGCATTTTAAAGTATTGTTGATTGTTGTTCATAGTTTCTATTAGACTTTTTGATCGGGGAAGGGCATTTTTAAGGGTCTGGGGAGGCATTTTGGTGACAGTGTCATATATAAACTGAATTCACTTTAGTTGTGGAGGGTCTCAGGGCAATAATTTAACACAAGATTATATTCAACCCTATAATTTAACAATGATCAGCGTGAGGGAAGGGGTGTAGAAATTGAGGGTGCTGAAGACAGTCGCGCACATTCTAATTTCAGGGGTGGACTTTGGCGCATACTTGATGAATTCAGTGATTCTTTCAGAGCATTTTGAGGGAACATTTACAACTTTCGCGTTGAAATGGCCCAAATGAGCCATACTAATGATAAGATACAACTTTCGTGTTGAAATGGCCCAAATGAGCCATACTAATGATAAGATACAACTTTCGTGTTGAAATGGCCCAAATGAGCCATACTAATGATAAGATACAACTTTCGTGTTGAAATGGCCCAAATGAGCCATACTAATGATAAGATACAACTTTCGTGTTGAAATGGCCCAAATGAGCCATACTAATGATAAGATACAACTTTCGTGTTGAAATGGCCCAAATGAGCCATACTAATGATAAGATACAACTTTCGCGTTGAAATGGCCCAAATGAGCCATACTAATGATAAGATACAACTTTACGTTGAAATGGCCCAAATGAGCCATACTAATGATAAGATAAAACTTTCGCGTTGAAATGGCCCAAATGAGCCATACTAATGATAAGAATCAACTTTCGTGTTGAAATGGCCCAAACGAGCCATACTAATGATAAGATACAACTTTCACGTTGAAATGGTCCAAATGAGCCATACTAATGATAAGATACAACTTTCGCGTTAAATGGCCCAAATGAGCCATACTAATGATAAGATATAACTTTCGCGTTGAAATGGCCCAAATGAGCCATACTAATGATAAGATACAACTTTCGCGTTGAAATGGCCCAAATCAGCCATACTAATGATAAGATACAACTTTCACGTTGAAATGGCCCAAATGAGCCATACTAATGATAAGATACAACTTTCGCGTTGAAATGGCCCAAATGAGCCATACTAATGATAAGATACAACTTTCGCGTTGAAATGGCCCAAATGAGCCATACTAATGATCAGATACAACTTTCGCGTTGAAATGGCCCAAATGAGCCATACTAATGATAAGATACAACATTCGCGTTGAAATGGCCCAAATGAGCCATACTAATGATAAGATACAACTTTCGCGTTGAAATGGCCCAAATGAGCCATACTAATGATAAGATACAACTTTCGCGTTGAAATGGCCCAAATGAGCCATACTAATGATAAGATACAACTTTAACGCCGCACCAGCGGGACATGCACTCAATTCATTCCAGTTATGGCGCCCTTGAGGGAAGGCATTTTCCCAGCTTGATTTCACCTATTAAATCTTTATACTAGTCCCTAGAAAATTTTTGATAAATTCAAAATGCAAGAATGCATTTTAGGAAATACTTTGATTTAGTTTTGCAACATTCTACAGTCGAAGAGAAACAGAGGAGATGCTAGTTTAAAAAAATCTTCTGTTGTTAGCTTTTTTATAGATTTTCATCTAGAAAAAAAAATGTTACTATTACTTTTTAAAAAAAGTGCAACTCGATGGGACAGTTTGTTTATTATCTGATGTTAAAAAACAAAAGCACTTGGGAATTGAATGAATATGGGCTATATAGATTTGAAACCTCTGATACTGTGGAGACTTTGTCACAAAATTAACACTTTTAAAGAAAACACAATCAAGCGTTTCAATATAATCATTGATGAAATCTGCCCTGTTTTTATGCGACCGTTACTAATCATTACTAAAATCTGCCCCGTGTGTATGCGACCGCTAATTCTTAATTTAAAAAAAAATATCTCTCATTTTTTTAAAGTATTAATGGAATGGTTTACATGTATAATTATGCCAATAAAAATATTTTTAAAGCCTAATTGCCATCATACAATTATAATTAACACCTATCCCTACATTATAAGTAATATATATATATATATATATATATATATATATATATATATATATAAGAATGAGCTAGAGTCACATAACGCCAAAAGGGAGATACTAATTAAGTAGGTTCGGATTCCTAAAAACAATCATAGTTATTTTCTATTAATTTACAGAAAATCGAATAAATTTAAATGCGCAAAAATATTTAAATCCACTTATATTTTAGAAAACGTTTAAGAATTATAATTATTATAAATTACAAATACATTTAAAGTATCATCTAAGGAACTATTTTAAGAATTTTATATGTGTTTAAGTTATGAAAAAAAAATCATTATCAAAGAATTACACCATAATCACATTTATCGGGAAAACCCAAACATCAGTCGTTTTTAGTGCGTCTTTTAGTGCGTTGTTAACATTGCGAAATAAAATTTTAAATTAATTTGTTCTAAATAATCATGCAAATGACGCCATAGCGCTAATACCTTATTTCTCCAAAACTCTTAGGTTTCTTTAAATTTAATAACCGCGAGTGACAAAAATGATATTGTATTTTCCCTTCTTAAGAGTAAAAATAATAAATACAATTAATTGCTTTTTAAATTGTTAATAGAACACACACACATTTCTGCTGTGTATATTAACATTAAAAAAATGTGCCTTTTTTTATTCCAAAAATTTACATTTATTAAAATTCTAACGTAATAAAAACTAACCTTTCAATATAATTACAATAAGAAAATGCGGTTTAAGTCAAACAGTGCAGTGCAACTCCATAGCCAAATAGCATTGACTAATCCACTTACAACAAAACAAAAAAGGACGAACCATATGAAGTGTACATTATTCTAGTTTGGGTATGGAAGGGACTACATTCCCGTGGAAGATTTTTCTAAAGTTATTTAAATCTGGGTGGGGGAGGGGATGGTTTACTTTGCCCCCGGCAGCACAAGATAGCCTACATCTCAAAATAAAGGAATGAATTTGATAAATAATTAACCTTTTTGGGAACATACATTTCAGAGGTTGGAAATAGGATGTGTACAATTTCACGTGGATGACATCATAGTTAACTCCTATGGTATTACATATGTGAAAAAATAGATGTTACTCTCTCTTTTCACAAATATACTTATGTTCACCAATTAAGAAGATCAACGGCGTTAACAAATCTTGGGTACATTTATATAAGTATAACCATGAGTATCAAAACCTAATCATTTTACACACTTGAAAAATTAATTTTAAAAAATAGGGATGAGTTAATATTTACTTTCCAAAAATTAAAATACATTTTTGTTTTTAATTTGCAAAAAGTAAAGAGATTTGTATTTTATGAGATTAAACATTTAAATTTAAAAAAAAAACAAGACTCAAATCTGTTATAGAGGTGGAAAAAGGTTGCGCAATTCTTCTTTAGATAAAAGAATTCTCTGTTTTACGATTTTCTGATAATATATAATTTTTTTTTAAAAAGGCAAAAAATGTGTTTAAATTTTTGCTGAAGATATCAATATATATCGAATTCCTATAATATAAAATATTTTTATATCATATATATAGAGAGAGTTTTGGGTGTTAATTTAAGGCAAGTTTTTAAAAACATTTTTAGAGAAAAAAAGTTGTAATTCAAGGGCACGAAAAGGGGTCAATCAAACGTAGTATAATTGTCCCTCAATTAACTTCTTTAGTGACAAAAGTGAAATAAATTAGTCATAATTGAGACTGTGTCATTTAATGTCATGTTTAGAGGGGGGTCAAAGTAGTTTCGGAGCGTGAAAAGGAGTAGGGTAGGCCTATAATATATAGCAGATAAATTCTTCTCAAAACGTAATAATGTTAGAAACATTATATTATTACATTTGTAAATTTATGAATTGTGACGAGTTTTTGCAATAGCAGTTAGAAATTATCGCATAGGATCTACCATTATTAACCCGATAACATGGGGTCATTTATTCTAGTGCTTTTATAATGAAATATAATTTGAAAATAGATTGTGCGTGTTTAATACTTAGCAAGAACTATCATTATAATTGTAGACCTTCATATTGATGAAAAGGTAGTTTAAGTTATTTACGGATGGTCCATTCATAATTCATTACATCAAATAATTTTAAAGCAATTTTTGATCCCCCCCCCTTGTCCACAACTGTCCAACTTTCAATGACACCCCCTCCCCCCCCCAAAAAAAAGGAATTATATTATAAATAAATTTATAAATACTTTTTACTTTGTGCTGATCTATTTTAATGACACACAATTGTATGAAAAATATTTTATTACATCTTTAGTGTGACAATCAACAAGTTAAAAAGTTTTTACACGTAAATTTTATAATGCAGAATCAATTGAAAGTTTGTTAAATGTCATTGTTTGTGGTATAAATATGATTATTGTCAATAAAGCTGACAGTTATAGTATAGTTTGTAGCTGCTATCATCTTCCCATGGAGTAGCCAGGTTTGCTCTATCGTAACAATGGGCATCAGGGACATCATTTTTGTAGGGTAGGGGGGCAATTGCCCCCCCCCCCACTATTTGCAGGTTTTATTTAAATTACTATGTACTGTGGCGCCTCCAGTAATACAACTTATATATATATATATATATATATATATATATATATATATTTATATATATATATGGATCATCAAATACATCGAAGGTAGCGATATTTCAGAGATTCAACTAATTGTAATCGGTGAAAGGCACCATATACTATTCTTTTTAAAACTTTTTTAAAATAACAATTTAATCTGTTTTAATTAAAAGATATTTAATCGTAATACTGTGGTACACATTTTGCACCAGAAGGGGGGTACTTGACTATCACTGAAGAGGTAATCCCCCCGCCCCCCCCCCCCCCCCCCCNGGAGAGCTCGCTGAAGGAAACACTGCACATACTTATAAATACACATATCTATAAACACAAACTTATAAACACACATACCTATAAATTACTATGAAAATTTATAAAACACTCATGTATAAACACAGACATATCATGAAATAGATAGTTTACACTTTATACACTCACAACAGGCACAGTTAGTTTACACTTTATACACTCACAACAAGCACAGTTAGTTTACACTTTATACACTCACAACAGGCACATTTAGTTTACACTTTATACACTCACAACAAGCACATTTAGTTTACACTTTATACATTCACAACAAGCACAGATAGTTTACACTTTATACACTCACAACAAGCACATATAGTTTACACTTTATACACTCACAACAAGCACAGTTAGTTTACACTTTATACACTCACAACAAGCACAGTTAGTTTACACTTTATACACTCACAACAGGCACAGTTAGTTTACACTTTATACACTCATAACAAGCACAGTTAGTTTACACTTTATACACTCACAAACAAGCACAGTTAAATTACACTTTATAGACTCACAACAGGTACAGTTAGTTTACACTTTATACCCTCACAACAGGTACAGTTATTTTACACTTTATACACTCACAACAGGCACAGTTAGTTTATACTTTATACCCTCACAACAGGTACAGTTAGTTTACACGTTATACCCTCACAACAGGTACAGTTAGTTTACACTGTATATTATACGTATTATACTGAAAAACAAGTACAGAAAGATTAGAAAGTGATACTTACACCCGAGCATCATTGCAAAGATTGAAAATATTTTTTCCATGTTTGTGTTTGGAGCTATATTTCCAAATCCAATGCTGGTCAGACTGGTAAATGTGAAGTAAAGTGCTGTGATATACTTGGACTTGATTGTGGGACCTGACATGGAGTCGTTTGGGTAAAAGTACATCTCTGTCTGATTGGCTAGAGTATCCAACCAACTGTAATAACGATATGTTACGATTAATTAAAACATAAGACGAAGAAGAAATGGGAGGGCTGGAGATCACAGGAAGAAATTAACCTGAAGAGATTTTTAATGATTTTGAAAGATATTTAGAGAGAGCGTCAATAGATCGAGTGAGTTTGAATCTATAGGATAGCATTTGGAGTCGTTACATTGTAATATTTAAGACTTAATTTAGAGCCACTTAGTAGTGTTGACTTATTTAGTGTTATGATACTACGTGTAACATAAATAGGCGAACTTTGAGCACTTTTGCGTTTTTATGTGGGTTTTAACATAAATCAATTGTTCTACTTAATTTGTTTAAAATAAATAACCTGTTTTACTAAAATGTTTAAGATAAATCAATTGTTCTTCTTAATTACTTAATAGCTACCATAACAAAAAACTAATAATGCATTTTTCCAAAATATCTCAATGGTTTTAATACCTTTGCTTGCGAGGTATATGGCACTTAAAAGCGAGGATAATGTCAGTTCTTGTTGGTCTTCTGTCAGAGATAAGCGTGGCTCAAGTCATTGATCTATGTGGCTCATGTAGAGCTCTGCCCGGCTCAATAGAAGCCATTTAAACTGGTGCCAAGTTTATATTACCTGATCGGTGCATGGAGTTGTGGTCTCTCCATTGTGGCAATGGCATAGAAAATGCAAGCTAGCCAATGGCCTATCAAGGTGAAGGTCACCATCAAAAGCAACAACACAGCAGATCCATACTCCGCAAATGCTTCAATTCTACGTATGACACGCAGGAGCCTAAGTAGACGGGCAGTCTTGAGGACACCTGTTACCGTCATGGTCTGAAACAATCGTAAGTTGTAAGTGTTTTGTCAGTATGTTTATGATAGAAACAGCCATGAGATTCTAACATGTCCATCAGGGTCTGAAACAATCTAGGATGTAGTCAGTTAGTGGTCAGTTGGTATCCAGCATGTGGTTAGTTTGGCACTAGTATGCTTCAGTATGTCGTCACTATGTGGTCAGTATTTATCAGTATGTGGTAACTATGTGGTCACTATGTAGCCAGCGTAAGGTAGTATGTGATCAGCATAAGGCCAGCATGTAATTAGGTTTGAACGCACTGTCCTAATTTGCAAACAACTATGACCATCATGGTCAGAAGAATATGGATGTCATCAGACAATGGTTAGTATTCGTCAGTCTGCGGTCAGTACATGGTCAGTATGTGGTCAGTATTAGTCCATATGTGTCAGTATGTAGTCACTATTTTTCAGTATGAGTCAGTATGTGGTATTTTCGTGGTCAATGTGTGGTCACTATGTAGTCAGTATGATTCAATATGTGGTCAGTATGTTGTTAATATTTGTCAGTATGTAATCGATATGTGGTCAGTATTTGGTCAGAAATATAGGCAGAGAATAGCACAGGTGTGATTATACAGGTAGATATGTCATATAGATTAGATAGTGTCATAGATATCATATCATAGATCACAATCCAAAAGCACATGTCAAAGAACACATGAATCATAAGTACCTAGGATAGATCCAGTGCCGTATAGGACATACTATATAAAAATACCTAGTATAAATCCCGTGTCATATAAGACATATAATAGATCCAATGCCATATAAGACATGTCATTAAGTGACTAGGATAGATTCCAGGTCATTTAACACATTAAAATTTCATGAATCGATTGTTAGTAGGTAATATTTTTAACAATATGATAACATACAGACAAAGCGAATAGTCATAGAGCACATGTGATAGAACACATTACACAGTGTACACGCCACAGTGTATATGTCACAATGTACATGTAAGAGGACACATTTTATAATACATTTCTTAAGTAACAATTTAAAGCTCTTGTTATGAAATAATGTCTTAGAATTTAGAGTAAAGAGCGCATTTCAAAATGAGCATTTCAGGGCAAACCTATTATCGGTAGACTTTTGTGTCAATAAGTGTCTATTGTTTGGGGCACAGTCTAGGTGATCAATAAGTGTCAATTGTTTGGGGCACAGTCTAGGTGATCAATAAGTGTCAATTGTTTGGGGCACAGTCTAGGTGATCAATAAGTGACAATTGTTTGGGGCACAATCTAGGTGATCAATAAGTGTCAATTGTTTGGGGCACAGTCTAGGTGATCAATAAGTGTCAATTGTTTGGGGCACAGTCTAGGTGATCAATAAGTGTCTATTGTTTGGGGCACAGTCTAGGTGATCAATAAGTGTCAATTGTTTGGGACACAGTCTAGGTGATCAATAAGTGTCTATTGTTTGGGGCACAGTCTAGATGATCAATAAGTGTCTGTTGTTTGGGGCACAATCTAGGTGATAAATTAGTGTCTATTGTTTGGGGCACAATCTAGGTGATCAATAAGTGTCTATTGTTTGGGGCAAAATCTAGGTGATCAATAAGTGTCTATTGTTTGGGGCACAATCTAGGTGATCAATAAGTGTCTATTGTTTGGGGCACAATCTAGGTGATCAATAAATGTCTATTGTTTGGGGCACAATCTAGGTGATCAATAAGTGTCTATTGTTTGGGGCACAATCTAGGTGATCAATAAGTGTCTATTGTTTGGGGCACAGTCTAGGTGATCAATAAGTGTCTATTGTTTGGGGCACAGTCTAGGTGATCAATAAGTGTCAATTGTTTGGGGGACAATCTAGGTGATCAATAAGTGTCTATTGTTTGGGGCACCGTCTAGGTGATCAATAAGTGTCTATTGTTTGGGGCACAATCTAGGTGATCAATAAGTGTCTATTGTTTGGGGCACAGTCTAGGTGATCATTAAGTGTCTATTGTTTGGGGCACAATCTAGGTGATCAATAAGTGTCTATTGTTTGGGGCACAGTCTAAGTGATCAATAAGTGTCTATTGTTTGGGGCACAGTCTAGGTGATCAATAAGTGTCTATTGTTTGGGGCACCGTCTAGGTGATCAATAAGTGTCAATTGTTTGGGGCACAATCTAAGTGATCAATAAGTGTCTATTGTTTGGGGCACAGTCTAGGTGATCAATAAGTGTCTATTGTTTGGGACACAGTCTAGGTGATCAATAAGTGTCTGTTGTTTGGGGCACAATCTAGGTGATAAATAAGTGTCTATTGTTTGGAGCACAATCTAGGTGATCAATAAGTGTCTATTGTTTGGGGCACAGTCTAGGTGATCAATAAGTGTCTATTGTTTGGGGCACAGTCTAGGTGATCAATAAGTGTCTATTGTTTGGGGCACAATCTAGGTGATCAATAAGTGTCTGTTGTTTGGGGCACAATCTAGGTGATCAATAAGTGTCTATTGTTTGGGGCACAGTCTAGGTGATCAATAAGTGTCTATTGTTTTGTATCGTGTTAGGGAATTTAATTATTGTTTTCATTGTTGACATCTAAATAAGAAGTTCTACTGAAACATCCTATAACCCCCCACCCCCCAAGTCCCCGAAATAATAAATAAATAAATAAAATAAGCCCCCCCCCCTCGTCGCACATCGATCATGGTCACTTAGACACCGTCCATCATGGTCACTTAGACGCCGTCCATCATGGTCACTTAGACGCCGTCCATCATGGTCACTTAGACGCCGTCCATCATGGTCACTTAGACGCTGTCCATTATGGTCACTTGGACGCCGTCCATCATATTCACTTAGACGCCGGCCATCATGATCACTTAGACGCCGTCCATTATGGTCACTTAGACGCCGTCCATCATGGTCACTTAGACGCTGTCCATTATGGTCACTTGGACGCCGTCCATCATATTCACTTAGACGCCGGCCATCATGATCACTTAGACGCCGTCCATCATGGTGACTTAGACGCCGTCCATCATGGTCACTTAGACGCC